GCAATCAGCCATGGATAAAATCGTGATTTTACTGTGCAAGGAAATAAAAGGAGCTAGCTGAACAGTTAAAAATAGAGGCATTTTCGTAAATTTACTGTGCTTAGCTACAGGGATCAATTGGATTGGGTTTTAGTATATATACAATTTAAGGGTTAAGATGATTTGAATGAAATCTAATTTCAGTGCATGTATTTAAGTTCAAGGTCAAAGTTTTAGGAAGGAAACTGATCTGGAGGATCCATCTATTTCTGGAAAAAGTGAGGACATTGGAAGAAGATAAAATGTTTTCCAAACTGACCAAAATAATTTATGTTTCTCCAAACCAGCTTGGTTTTATGTTATAACCTATAAGTGCATGTCATACACATGGCAGAAGCAGAACAACACGCAAACTCGGGACAGAAGAAAAGCAAAACATGAGCTACACAGAGCAGCCACTCCTGAAAAGCTTTGAAGTGTCTGAATTTAGGTTCTCAAAACAACAGATCGCTATTTTTAAGTGCATGTTATACACATGGCGGCAGAAGGTGTTGTATGACTGAAGACCAGCATTTAAGAAGGTGTTGATGGCAGAAGGTCTCATCACTTAAATTAAGAACCATATTCTTTTTTCTTTTTTTTAAATTAAAATTTTACAATTTTCAATAAAGCTCATTGCCACAGAAAACCATCTGTCCCAGTTTGGATACTCTTGGTCTTGGTAGAGGCTCAAATGGCTAGGAAGCTAAGTAAGCCTTCAATAAAGAAACAATCATTTTTCAAGGTCCTGCTTGGCGGCTTCTATCAGCATCTGGTAACATGCATCCTACCTTCTTTTCCACTTTTTCAAGTTCAATTCTTATATTCATGATCGAATGCAAGATTTCCCTTCTTTTTTGGTTCATTTGAATAAGATCTTAACTTTCTGTATGTGTTCAAGTTTAATCAGTATATTACATTCAGAGTGATGCATACAAATTTCAGTTGAAAGGTTAACTACCCTGTTCATGGTTAAGTCCACTTCTTTTCAGTTACCAAATACTGCATATGCTGTTGTAGAACAATCAGTATAAAACCAAAATAACAGAATAATAAAAACCAACGAATATATTTTATATAGATATACAGAGGAACAATCAGAAGAGCAAACCAGATTTTACAAGGGGACACCATGGTTTTTGTGTTTGTGAAACCAAGTGTAATGCAAAGTCATATCTACAGAGGAGCAAGAGTGGGAGGCAGTGGGTGTTCTGTTGTACTCGTTAACCCCGGCCTGAAAACTTAGGCTATTTTTACTCTAGAGTTTCGCATTGCAATACTTTTAAAAAATGTTGACTGCAAATCCATTTTGGCGAAGTGATGATCTTCTTGTATTTTATTTGGTTAGTTTTCATTTTCCAGTCATTCTTCTACTACTCTTTAGTGACTGAAATATTTAATGATTGTTTTACTTGATTGAATTGAGACAGTTTTTTTATTTTGGGTAAGAGGAAATCAAACACAGGACCTTGGGTGTGACGAATGTTACCAATTAACCGGGAAAAGTTTTTCACTTTGATTTTAGGTTTTAGGTTCCAATTTTAGTAGCTCAAAACTTGAGAGTTAAACTCTGCTAGGACTGATATTAGAAAATCGGTACACATGTCCTCCTACTTTTAATATAAAAAAAATTCTTTACTTCCTATTAATCATATTTTGATTATAAAAAAAATTCTTTACTTCCTATCGATAAAATAAAAAAATTAAAAAAAAAAAAATTCTTTATTCGTCACCAATATAACATTTTGATATAAAAATTCCTTATTCGTCACCAATGTAACAATGTAATTCTAAAACTACACTTGTCTTCCTACTTCCTGCTAATCACACTTGTTTTCCTTTTTCTGGCTAACAAAAATTCCAAATATAAACATATTCCAATGTAATTCTCAAAATCCTCACACATCCATACTTCAATAAATCTAATTAACTCCTAAATACACTTAAAAATAATTTTTTTAGGAAACCTCAATTTTGAACGAGGAAAAGTATTAATAAACAATTACAAATAAAAAGACGCTAAAAATAAGGATAAAAATTTGTGAGTTATATTTCAAAAAAAAAAAATTCATGATTGAAGGCATTTATCATGCATATATATGGAATAAAGGGAATTTATGTTTTTGAAACCTACCTAAACACGAAAAAAGTGATGTATCCCTTTTTCAGAATACCTTGGGTTATAAGTTTATATGACATGGCTAAACAAGGATCAGAAAAACAGAGGCGCCCTAGCAAGCAATCGTCGCCTGTTCTGTGTTTCCCCTGCCGATAAAACTTACCCACAAAAGCTAGCTACACAGAAACCCACGCCTAAAAAGCTTTGATCTTTGAAGTTTTCGTTGAAGACTGAAGACTTGGTTCAAATGGCAAGGAAACTTATGAAGCGTTCAGTAAAGAAAGAATCGTTTTTCAAGATCCTGCTTGGTGACTTCTCTAAGCATCTCATCTTTGCCTTCTTTTTTCACTTTTCAAGATCAATTTCTTTACAGTCTTGAACCGGATGCATGATTGCATGTTTTCTTTCCGTGTTTTTTTGGGTTCATACTTCAAGATTAATTGCGAATTTGAGTGAAAATCCGTGTGCCTATTATATTCATTGTTTTGCATATCAACTTCAATTAGCTTTTGTGGCTGTGACAAAGGGAAATGTTGATATTGCCACTTTCTTCACATCTTGTAATAGCTTGGTTAATATTGTTGGAGCATCGTGTAAGCGTCGTGACATGCTTAGAGATAAACTACAAAAGGATATTATGGAAGCTCTTGAAAAAGATACTCTTCCAACAGGGCGAGGCTTAAATCAAGAAACTTGTCTCAAGCGTCCCGGTGATACACAATCTCTTCTATGTTCAAATCTGTGGTGAAAGTGCTTAAGTTGATTATTGAGGATGGCTCCACCGATAATATAGGTGAAGCAAATAGGTCATTAAGAGATATACAATCTTTTGAGTTTGAATTTCACCTATTTTTCATGAGATCTATATTGGGAGTCACAAATGATTTGTCACAAGCATTACAAAGGAAAGACCAAGATATTGGGAATGCAATGTCTTTAGTCAAAGATTGAAATGACTATGAGAGAGAATGCATTTGAAGCCTTACTTGAACGAGTATCTTCCTTTTGTGGCAAACATGATATTGAGGTTCCAAACATGGATGATGCATATGTAGCTCAATGGAGATCACAACAGAGAGCTCCTAGAATAACACATCTCCATCATTATCGTGTGGGTATCTTTATTCAAATCATTGAGTGGAACTTGCGGAATTAAATCATTATTTCAGTGAGGTGAATACTGAGTTACTTATTTGTTTGGCATGTTTGAGTTTGGATGATTCATTCATAGCTTTTGACAAACAAAAGCTACTTCGTTTTGCTGAATTTTATCCTCAAGATTTTACTCCCCGAGACCTCTTAGCACTTAAAGATCAAGTTGTGACTTATATTCATCGTATGCGTACGATGAGCGATTTTTCTCAATTGAAAGGGATTGGTAGCCTTGAAAGAAAAATAGTGGAGAAAGGGTTGCATAGAACATTTAATTATGTTTATTTGCTTCTCACATTAGCCTTAACTTTACCGGTTGCAACAACTTCTGTGGAGAGAGTATTTTCTGCTATGAATATTGTGAAAGGTCCACTTCACAATCGAATGGGAGATCAATGGTTTAGTGATAGCTTACTTATTTATATTGAGAAAGATGTGTTTATTTGTATTGATAATGACTCTATAATGCAACGTTTTCAGAGTATAAAAACTCGTTGTGGACAATTGTAATGTGATTTTTTCTATTAAATAAGAATTGTAATATTATCGTTTCATTTTTTTTTGTTCTATTTTGTGTAGAATTTTTTTGCCTTTTAGACGTTGCGCGCCACTGTCTATAGTAACATATCTTTGTCCCCTAAAGAGATTTCTGTTCCGAAGAGTCTAGCAAATCTTATATAATATAAAACCATATATCACTGCCTACCAAAGTCACAGCCTTTGCCTCCTTATTTATTAGGGTCAAATAGCATTTTTGTAGTGTATTTTGTTAGAGAATTATCATGGAGGCAGGCGGCCATGGCGTTCAACAAGGAAGAAAATGGGGGCGGTGGAATAAACTGTTGGACATGGAGGAGGCCAAGAACCAGGTCCTGTTTTTCTTGCCAATGATTCTTACCAATGTTTGCTATTACACGATCCCCTTGATATCTGTCATGTTTGCTGGTCACCTTGGTGAGCTTGAGCTTGCTGGTGCCACACTTGCCAATTCATGAGCCACCGTTACCGGTATCGCTCTCATGGTAACTCTCTCTCTCTTATGTCCTTATTTTTTTTAGAAAATTCAAAGCCCAAGGCCGACCCATGAGCCGAGCTTGAGAAAGCCCATTGGGCCAGGCCGGGCCTAAACAGGCCTACTTCATTAAAAAAAAATCATAAACTTAATCATAACATTTAATTATGTTTATTTGCTTATCACATTCGCCTTAACTTTACCAGTTGCAACAGCTTCGGTGGAGAGAGTATTTTCTGCTATGAATATTGTGAAATGTCCACTTTACAATCGAATGGGAGATCAATGGTTTAGTGATAGCTTAATTATTTACACTGAGAAAGATGAGTTTATTTGTATTGATAATGACTCTATAATGCAACGTTTTTAGAGTATGAAAACTCGTCGTGGACAATTGTAATATGATTTTTTTTCTATTAAATAAGAATTGTAATATTATCGTTTCATTTTTTTTGTTCCATTATGTGTAGAATTTTTTTGTCTTTTAGACGTTGACCCCTGGAAGGAAAATTCCTGGATCCGCTCCACTGTGTATAGTAACATATCGTTGTCCCCTAAAGAGATTTCTGTTTCGAAGAGTCTAACAAATCTTATATAATATAAAACCATATATCCCTGCCTACCAAAGTCACAGCCTTTGCCTCCTTATTTATTAGGGTCAAATAGCATTTTTGTAGTGTATTTTGTTAGAGAATTATCATGGAGGCAGGCGGCCATGGCGTTCAACAAGGAAGAAAATGGGGGCGGTGGAATAAACTGTTGGACATGGAGGAGGCCAAGAACCAGGTCCTGTTTTTCTTGCCAATGATTCTTACCAATGTTTGCTATTACACGATCCCCTTGATATCTGTCATGTTTGCTGGTCACCTTGGTGAGCTTGAGCTTGCTGGTGCCACACTTGCCAATTCATGGGCCACCGTTACCGGTTTCGCTCTCATGGTAACTCTCTCTCTCTCATGTCCTTATTTTTTTTAGAAAATTCAAAGCCCAAGACCGACCCATGAGCCGGGCTTGAGAAAGCCCATTGGGCCAGGCCGGGCCTAAACGGGCCTACTTCATTAAAAAAAAATCATAAACTTAATCATAACATTTAATTATGTTTATTTGCTTATCACATTCGCCTTAACTTTACCAGTTGCAACAGCTTCGGTGGAGAGAGTATTTTCTGCTATGAATATTGTGAAATGTCCACTTTACAATCGAATGGGAGATCAATGGTTTAGTGATAGCTTAATTATTTACATTGAGAAAGATGTGTTTATTTGTATTGACAATGACTCTATAATGCAACGTTTTCAGAGTATGAAAACTCGTCGTGGACAATTGTAATATGATTTTTTTCTATTAAATAAGAATTGTAATATTATCGTTTCATTTTTTTTGTTCTATTATGTGTAGAATTTTTTTGTCTTTTAGAAGTTGACCCCTGGAAGGAAAATTCCTAGATTCGCTCCACTGTGTATAGTAACATATCGTTGTCCCCTAAAGAGATTTCTGTTTCGAAGAGTCTAACAAATCTTATATAATATAAAATCATATATCACTGCCTACCAAAGTCACAGCCTTTGCCTCCTTATTTATTAGGGTCAAATAGCATTTTTGTAGTGTATTTTGTTAGAGAATTATCATGGAGGCAGGCGGCCATGGCGTTCAACAAGGAAGAAAATGGGGCAGTGGAATAAACTGTTGGATATGGAGGAGGCCAAGAACCAGGTCTTGTTTTTCTTGCCAATGATTCTTACCAATGTTTGCTATTACACGATCCCCTTGATATCTGTCATGTTTGCTGGTCACCTTGGTGAGCTTGAGCTTGCTGGTGCCACACTTGCCAATTCATGAGCCACCGTTACCGGTATCGCTCTCATGGTAACTCTCTCTCTCTTATGTCCTTATTTTTTTTAGAAAATTCAAAGCCCAAGGCCGACCCATGAGCCGAGCTTGAGAAAGCCCATTGGGCCAGGCCGGGCCTAAACAGGCCTACTTCATTAAAAAAAAATCATAAACTTAATCATAACATTTAATTATGTTTATTTGCTTATCACATTCGCCTTAACTTTACCGGTTGCAACAGCTTCTGTGGAGAGAGTATTTTCTGCTATGAATATTATGAAATGTCCACTTTACAATCGAATTGGAGATCAATGGTTTAGTGATAGCTTAATTATTTACATTGAGAAAGATGTGTTTATTTGTATTGATAATGACTCTATAATGCAACGTTTTCAGAGTATGAAAACTCGTCGTGGACAATTGTAATATGATTTTTTTTCTATTAAATAAGAATTGTAATATTATCGTTTCATTTTTTTTGTTCCATTATGTGTAGAATTTTTTTGTCTTTCAGACGTTGACCCCTGGAAGGAAAATTCCTAGATCCGCTCCACTGTGTATAGTAACATATCGTTGTCCCCTAAAGAGATTTCTGTTTCGAAGAGTCTAACAAATCTTATATAATATAAAACCATATATCCCTGCCTACCAAAGTCACAGCCTTTGCCTCCTTATTTATTAGGGTCAAATAGCATTTTTGTAGTGTATTTTGTTAGAGAATTGTCATGGTGGCAGGCGGCCATGGCGTTCAACAAGGAAGAAAATGGGGCAGTGGAATAAACTGTTGGACATGGAGGAGGCCAAGAACCAGGTCTTGTTTTTCTTGCCAATGATTCTTACCAATGTTTGCTATTACACGATCCCCTTGATATCTGTCATGTTTGCTGGTCACCTTGGTGAGCTTGAGCTTGCTGGTGCCACACTTGCCAATTCATGGGCCACCATTACCGGTTTCGCTCTCATGGTAACTCTATCTCTCTCATGTCCTTATTTTTTTTAGAAAATTCGAAGCCCAACGCCCACCCATGGGCTGGGCTTGAAGCCCATTGGGCCAGTCCGGGCTTAAACGGGCCTACTTCATTCAAAAAAAAATCATGAACTTAATCATAAGGGCTTTTTAGTCCAAATTTGAGATTAAACTCACTTAATTCCAATATTTTCACATCAAACCAAATTCATAAAACACTCAATAAAGTCACACAACTTAATAAGATTTTTCACAAAAATAATAAAACCAAGTATTATTTTTGAGGTTATTACATAATTAGACCGTAATACGTTTTAAAAAATAATAAGTATGAAATTTTTTTTTTTTAAGGATGGTATGAATAAATATGCAAATATTTGGTGATGTGTTCAAGAAAAGCATGATTATATTTCGTGATATGATTATATTTGGTGATGTGATATGTTGTTCATCTTATTTTTATATATATATAATTGTTGAATTAATAATTGACACAAATTAATGTGCTAATCATCCAATTATAAACTAGGAATGAGTAAAGAAAAGTAAATGAAATGAAACAAATTATATATGGGATTTAAGTGATATAATCCTAAACCTAAACTCTTATTTACACATAATTATATATGTACACAGGCCTAACGGGCCGGGCTTTTGTGGGTGGGCCTGGCCGGGCTTTCTTTGGCTGGGCTTCAGACACCCAAGCCCAAGCCTAGCCCAGACAAAGGCAGACCAAGCCATCTCAAAGCCCATAACGGGCCTGGCCGAGCTTTTTTTGGATGGCCCGGGCTGGCCCCCATTGGCCCATGAGCCCGCATGCCAAATGATGAGGCCTACACACTTAGACAAAGACAGCCTTGGTTGTGATCCCAGCCCAAGAATTGGTTGTGATCCCAGCCCTTATAACCCAACTTACCATCTAGAATAGCCCACTATCCACGTGCAATAATAAACCAATGTGGGTAGAGTTCCCAGTCAGAAAGGTGACACAACAAACTTACAGGAATGAAAAAGGTCTAAAGAAAGCCCTAGTCCCTTCTTTGCCAAAAAAACACTCTATAACCATTTTCACTTTGAGGGGGAGGAAGTCATTGTTCTTCCTCCCCTCTCCTCTTCTCTCTTCCTCTCCTTTCCCCTTCTCCCCCATTTTCAGAGTTTGTTTTCATTTTGTAATAATTTTCCTCACTCATCACAGGCGATCTCTACCTTCGTTTCGGTGTTGGATCTCTACCTCCATCCTTTATGCGATTTCTTCATGTTTGGAATAAGTTGCAAAGACTCTTTGAGTTTTTCTGTGTAGTTTTCATCTTTCATTTGTGAGAGCTTTCCACCTCTCTTTTGTGAGAGTTTTATTTGTATTATTATAGGTTGGTTTTTTCAAGCTTTATCTATTTTTGGTTGTTCTGAGTTTGCCCTCTTAGTTGGGATGCCTATGCCAGAGTTTCTTTGATCTTGCGTGATCGTTAGTGGAGGATCCCTAGAGTGTCTTAATTTTAATGTTAGATCGCTCTGTTATTGTAATGGCCCTTTGTGTCTAATGGTTTTCTTGGGCTGAATTATTCAATGCAATCCCATAATTTCTCAACAACAAAAAAGGTTCAATTTTAGTAAGTTCATCAAACGTGTGACATGACTTTTGTTCAATTTAACTAAAATAGCACAATCCAAGCCATCAAGCGTGGCTTATTGTTCTTAAGTGATCAAATTAGAAATACCAATAATGTTGGATCAAGACTAGTCTTTTATGTTCACGATAGTTCGTTTCCCCAATAAATATATGAGTCGTGATTCAGAAATATAAGTCGGGACATACCTCACTTGGAATATTAAAGTTTTTCTTTGTTTCTTATGAAAATGCCTTTTTCTTCAAAGATTTGGCCCATCCTTGAATTTTTTTTTGTTTTTTTGGTCAAAAGGAAATTTCATTACTAACGAAAGATTATAAAACGATATAGTTACGTAAAGTAAACTCAAAATAATTAGGTTAGGTTAGAGAGATGTAGGAGGCACATAGTACTTTTTTAAAAGATTCAAAGAAATACATGATCCAGTTCCTCCATCCACCCAAAATGAGCCCAAAATGCCTAAAATCCAAACAAAAGGCGACACCAGACATTTGCTTCGGGGAGAGCTTAGGTCTTGCGCATATAAAGTTGCCACAAAGGCCATGTTAACTTCCATACCAAGTTTCCAACCCTAGAGAATTAACATGCCTTATTGCAACGTATATTATGGGTCATTTCCCATAAAGTCTTCAAAAATAAATAGAAGGCATGGAGAAAGAAACAGATGTTAATTACAGAAAATTAAAAGAAAATACATCAAAACGAAGCAACACATGTGGATGGACTGTCTGTGGGGATCGCTGCTTTACTTTCAAAACCGCCTAATCAATAATAATTTATTAATTTGTGAAAATCTTTGAGAGTTCTCATCTATTATTATTAATTTTGAAGAAAATTCAAAGTTGTAAGTTCGTAACATCAAACAGAAGACAGTTTGTGTAAACTTGTTTTTTTGGCATGAAGTTTGTGTGAGGACGTTGATAGATATAGTATGTTCTCTTGGCTCTTGTTACACTAGTTCCTCTTGGGTTTTCCACACAGTTCTTAATCTTTGTACCTTTTTTGTTGTTGTGTGTTAATGTGGCATTTAGGGTCCACTTGGATGGAGTGACTTCAAATCTAGAAATTTCGATGACTTATAAGGTTAAACTGTTTGTTTGGACTACTACGTACATTTCATGTATATCACGATTTCAAATCCAATTCAAATAGGAAAATACTTCCCTCCTTATCATGTATGCAGGAGTTTCTACATTCCTGTCAATAATAATGTGACATGTGTGCATAAATTTTTATTTTTGTATTTTTGATGAATTATTTTTGCGTATGTGTCAAACTGTAATTTGTAGTAATAATCTATATGTATAAAGCAAAAGCAAAGAAAGGTGAAACATTCAAAATTGGCCTGTTCTGCGTTATATGATGCCTTTCTCTATCTTACCTGTGGTCTACCAGTCATTCCAACCACCATCATTAATCAGTTTCCTTAAAAATATTAGCGCAATGCATGAAAATGGCATTAAATTATGTGCCTTCTTAGAGTACTGGCCCAAGACCATACTGGGGTCAACCCCAGGCCTCAGTAACCTACTTGCAAATCTAATTTATTTTCTAATTTTTTTAATTTATCAAATTTAACTCTATCAACACCTTCATTCGAACTGTCAGTCAAAAAAAACACAAGAAGACAAAAGCTTGGTGCACAGTGTAGTGAAGGAGATGACAATCACAACACGACTCTGTGTGTGTGTCATAAGTGTGTACTGTGTCCTCAGACAATTGTTGCATGTGGCTAGCGACTACTAGCCGTAGCGTCTAAATTATTTTTCTTAGTAAATTTAAGTTTTAGTTATAAAAAAACTTTCACTACAAAACAGAAAAAAATTTCAACTTTCAAATCAAAGACATGCAAATGTAAAGAATTCCTTAAGAAATCCAAAAATAAATATGAGCAATTTTATCCATTTTGACTTCTTTTAAAAAAAAATTCTCTCCTTTTGCTTTTTTCAAAGTCTCCCTTATTTCTTCCCCAATCCAAAGTGCAGCACGAATTATAATTGATTGTGAATCGGTCGGATTTATGTTTGTACGTACAAGTCCTGCTATTTAATTTCTGACAATATGATCCTGACTATACATTATGTTTGACACCTGTAAATTTATCTCTTGTGCAGTATATATTAATCTTCCACGTGATAAAACCAAAGAATAAAATATAAATATAAAAAGATTTAGTCTGTATAAATGGCGGTACGAAATCCCAGTTTTTGAATGGTACCTTCTAATTTAGCCTCTTGACATCCAGAAAAAATTATAAGAAAACAAGAAGAAGAAGAAGAAAACTAGAAGAAGAAGAAGTAGATGGCAATGTTAGCGAACACAGATTTAGAGAGGATAAAGGAAACTACTAGGGTACCCTTAATAGAGGGTCATGGAGATGAAGGAGGAGCAAACAAAACAAGCTGGTGGAAGAAAGTGTTGGACGTGGAGGAGGCCAAGAAACAGGTCTTGTTTTCATTGCCAATGATTTTTACCAATCTTTTCTACTATTTGATCACTTTGGTTTCAGTCATGTTTGCTGGCCATTTTGGGAAGCTTGACCTTGCGGGTGTAACCCTTGCCAATTCATGGGCCGTTGTTACTGAAAGAAGAGCAAGAAGAAGGAGAAATTTAGGTTTTGTAAGAATTGAAATTGTATATTCGATGATTATGAGATTGTACAGTTGTCTATATATATACACTTGAAATGGAAATATCTAGACTAAAGTTTGTTACAGGAAAGATGGAGATATTGACAAGTGTACAGTAGTGATGAAGCTTAGCTGTTTCCTCCTTTCTTTCTAGAACTTGGTCTGCTGTGCTCAATTCTATTCTTTGTTGTGTGCTCTTGATTTGTTGTTCTAGAAGACAGAGGCTGTATGAGAGTGATCTTTGTGTGTTCTTCATTGCTCTGTTTATCAGTTACTGGCTTTGCTTTCTCTCTCTCTACCCTCTGACCCTTATATACTCAGTATGATTGCAGACCTTTGCGTTTAATTCTTTTCTTGTCTGTTCTTGTTTTAGGTTGGGTTAAGTGGAGCTCTTGAGACGCTTTGTGGACAAAGGTTTGGTGCAAAGTTGTATAAAATGTTGGGGATCTATCTACAAGCCTCTTGCATCATATCTTTCCTATTCTGTTTCATCATATCTATAATCTGGTTCTACACAGAACCTATACTTATTGTACTCCATCAAGATCCTCAAATTTCCAAGTCTGCTGCTGTTTTTATGAAATTTCTGATTCCAGGGTTATTTGCATATGGATTCCTGCAAAACATCTTGAGATTTCTTCAGGCACAATTTGTTGTCCTGCCATTGGTCCCCCTTATTATTCATTTCGGCATTGCTTATGGTTCGGTACATTGGACAGCTCTTGGTTAGAAGGGAGCTCCACTTGCGGCTTCAATTTCGTTATGGTTATCTGCCCATGTATGTCATCTGCTCAAAGAAGTTTGAGCATACATGGGAAGGCTTTTCGTTAGAATCGTTCCATTATGTCCTTACTGATTTGAAACTTACCCTCCCTCAGCACTAATGGTATGGTAAGTGTCAATGCTTTCATTACTTTTATAAAGTTCACAATGCTTAATTAAGCTTGGTGGAAAACCTTTTCAGCATCAGGTTAAAAATCATAACGTAGTAAGATATCGTACTTACAGTGAAAGGACATTTAAACCCAATTATTATCCAAATTAGCACTCTGACCTGATTGAATTCAAGGGCTGGACTGTGGACGTATAACATCAATTGAGGGTTTGAACTCTTGAAGTATTAACTCAGATGCTGGCATGCTGCCCTACAACTATAGCATAGCAGCATTATTATCTATAGGAGTATGAGATAGAATTTGCATGGTTAAACTTCACAAACTTTTTTAACCTTTCCAGTTTGGAGGAATGGGTTTTTGAGATTCTGGTGTTGATGGGAGGATTGATGCCAAACTCGGAAGAAACAACTTCACTAATGGCGATGTGGTAAGCTTCAATATACTTTTTTCTTCCTCTCCTTTTCTATAGCTCTTATAATATTGCAGGCTGACTCAATTAGTCTTTCTTTGAATATTATCTTGTCAGTGTGAATACAGAAGCAATTGCATACATGATTATATGTGGCCTCAGTGCTGCTGCAAGGTTAGTGGTAGAACAACAATCCAGCTTTTTATATTGCTCCAAGTTTTTCGATATCTAGATTCTGTTTCACACGTTGAAACAAAAGTTACTTGTTGTGGTGTAGCACAAGGGTGTCAAATGACTTGGGAGCTGGCAATCCTGACAAAACTAAGAAGGCAATGGCTGCGACTCTTAAGCTCTCTATGCTTCTTGCTTTCGTTCTTGTTCTCACTCTAGTGGTCGGTCACAATAACTGGGTCGGCTTCTTCAGTGACAGCCACATAATAGCAGAGCAATTTGCTTCCATGGTGCCTTTGCTTGTAATTTCAATAATTGTAGATTCTGTGCAAAGTGTTTTATCAGGTTAAGATCATCTACTTTTCTAGTAGGGGCAGTAGTTCAACTTTGCTTTTTCCCATTTGAACTTTGTTATCTTTTCCTAACTTCTCCATGAAAGTGATTGCCTGCCTTTCAGGTGTGGCCAGAGGATGTGGATGGCAACACTTGACTGTGTATGTAAACATTGTCACATTCTATTTGATTGGCATGACAATTTCCAGTCTTCTTGAGTTTAAGTTCAAACTACATGCCAAGGTACGTAAGACAACACCAGAAAGTTGATTTGGTGTGTCTGTTTTGTTGTTTTTTTTCTTTTGTCTTTTTCAATTCACATTTGGTACCTTTTTGGTGCTTGATTTTGTTACAGGGCTTGTGGATTGGTTTAACCTGTGGTCTCTCCTGTCAAGCTGCCACAGTTTTGTATATTACACAGAGCACAAAGTAGACTGTGTTGGATTTATCTGATATTGCAGAGAGAGAAAAGCCAGTTTTGGTGTAAACAAGTAATACCACTTGGGCCAACTGTGAGACTAGTTTGTGCATTGCCTTTGTGGTGTGTTGAAGTAAAGCCGAAAGCATGTACTTTGTTAACAAATTTTTATGCCCTTAAATTTGACTTAGCTTTGAAAGCACAAATGCCCTTAAATGAAAGAACCTCCGATGCATGATTAATTATTTCTAACTACTTGAGTTACATGCTTCTTGCCACAAATCACACATCTTAACATAGAAAATCACGATACTTCTTAATGGGCAGATTCTATTTGACCACGCTAAACTGTTATTAAGTGAATCAAAGGGTGAAGAGCCATTTTCTTGGCCAAAGGTAATAAAAAGACAAATTTCTGTTCAAAATGACTTGAGACATTACAATGAGGATGTAATAATCTCTTATCTCATTTAAATAATCTTACTCCTTCAACCATTCTCAATACAAATCTTCAATTATAAGAACTATAAAAGTTATCTTATGCATCTCCAGCATAGTTGCTATACTATGATCCTTACCCATTTTGGCGAGAATGAGCACAAAACGCAGCTCTAATAAACTTGGTATCTGACTCTCCATTTTGGAGAACTCCCTATTTGAGTTTGGTGGCTCTCTATATTTATGGCATGTTTATTAATCCGTAATTGAATTGAGGAAGAGTTGGATTGAGGAGAATTAGATTCCGGATTCCTATTGAAGTTGTTTACTAAACCATATGGATTGAGGAGAGTTAGATTCTGAATTCTTATTGAAGTTGTTTACTGAACCATATGGAATTTGGGTAGCAGTGGTACTAATTATTAAAATGTCCTCCTTGTTGGGTTAGTTCTCCATAAATTAGAATACCACCTCCCATCCAATAATTGAGTTCCTCCAAAATTAGGAATTCAATTCCTAATTTTGTGTGGCCCCACTTATTTTTTAATTCATTGATGTGAAGTAAACGCATGAACCCTTAATAGGTGGAATTCAATTCCTGATGAGAATTCCAATTCCTAATTAGTAAACATACCATTAGAGAAGAGGAGAGAGAAATTGATGGTTCTCCATTCCTTCCTCTTCTCTGTCCCTAGGCCCACAACCCTCTCTAGCCTCTTACTTTTTTATTTTTTAATGAATTTTTAATTTTAGTTACTCAAATATTTAAAATTTAGGAAATAATAAAATATTATAGATTAGCCAAAATAGAGAACATTACTGAAGGAAATAATTTTAAGTAGTTTGCTATAAAAGCTTTTTAGCTGTTTTAACTAAAATTTGGCTAGAATTTAGAGACTCTCATAGATATGGTCCTATCTTAATCCTTAAAAAAGTGGAACACTCAAGAAACCTGGATGATTGCATACACAAGGTTAAGCCTTTAAATTGTTATGTTTATAGTAAGTTATATTACGAGTTGGAACCAAAGACACTCGTCTACAAGTTAATGCCTTTTTCTACTAGGCTAGACCACATTAACTAAAAAAATTCTGTTTGAGCCATAAGGAAAAACGTTATATCTAAAAAAATTAAAAACAAAAAAACAAAAAACCTAACACTTCTCTTTTAGGGAGATTCACTATTATACCTAATATAGGAGCCCAAATTATTTTTAAAAAAAATATGTATTAAATAAACTTTAAAAACACAATCAAAGCCCATTTACAACATAATAAATAGGTTTTTAACTTCTTATAAATTACAAAACTGTCATCAATCTCTTAAAACAAGCATAATCCTAACCCAAAACCTTATTTAAAAAAAATCTAAAACACTCAATAGGACATCAAAGTAATTTAATAATCAAAATTAAATTCAATAGGGTCAGCTATTATTTTTTGGGTTTTTTTATATAAATTAATAGTGTAAAATTTATTTATATCATTAGTGCTAATAATGAATATACGACTAAATATCTCTTTTATTTAACGCAACCCAAGACATATATAAGTGCATGTTGTACACAAGCGGCCAGAAGAAACAAGAAAATACCAAATTTAAAAATAAAATAAAAAATGCTTTGGAGGATCTGATTCTGAAGCAACAGCCTCCAAAATAAAGATCAGAGATTCAGAAAAGTTGTTTGCTTTTTTCAAGGGTTGGAATGGCAAGGAAACTCGTTAAGCCTTCGCTAAATAAGCAATCTTTCTTCAAGATCCTACTTGGTGACTTCTCTCAGCGTCTGGTAACATCCTGCCTTCTTTTTTACTTTAAGTTCAAGATCAATTACGAACTGCTCTCTGTTTCTTTTGGTATGGTTCGTTTTTCAAGATTAATCTTCAGCATGCGTTCAAGTCTAGTCAATTTGTTAGCTGCTGAATGATACCCGTGATTTTTATTTGAAGGTTAATATCATGGTTCATGTTTGAGCACGCTGTTTTAGTCCACACTAAACACAATGGGGGAATTTTTACTTCATAGAAATAAATCACTTTCTCACACCTATTCATGCATATTGTATGCTATGTTCATGATAGTGAGACAATAACTGAACAGGGTTAGGTCAGTTCTCCAGGGAAGTGTCCTTTTCATCGAAGTTTGAGTCCCCTTCGTATAAATTTGATTTATTTAGAGTAATTTAGACTAAAGAAAAAAAAAACTAAACATATGTGATTGTTTGGATTTTAAAAAAGCTATTAAATTTTGTAGCGTATACCACCTAAGTTTGTCAAGAACTTCAATGTACGGCCACTTCACAAATGTGCTCTCAGTGGCCCTAGTGGAATTCGGTGGACTGTGGAATTGGAAGAGAGAGAGAATGGCTTGTTCTTCCAAAATGGTTGGCAAGGGTTTGTGAAGGATCATCATTTAGAAGATGGGGATTTTTTGGTTTTCAAATATGATGGTGAATCAAAGTTTAAAGTCACAATCTATGATAGAACTGCTTGTGAGAAGAATGTAAAGGTAGCTGAGAGGAGTGGCTGTCCTGTTTCCTTGGCTAACAAAGGGAAAGCTCAAGTTAAAGAAGAAATTGTTGACCGTGAAACTAGAAACTACAATAAAAACTGTCAAAACAGAGCAATTGTTTCTGGCAGAAGAAGTGGTAAGTTATACTCTATTTTACTTCTCTACATCTAGGGAAGATTTGTTTGTGCTATTTTCTCTAGCAGCTTATTTACTTTTTTCTTCTTAAATTGTGTCTCATATTGATACTGTATAGGCAATTATGTTATACCTGCGAGGAGACCTGCAAATGATCATGTAGGAGCAACATCAACTGAACCCGTCTTGTTTATAACGAAGTATTCATGTTTCATAGTAACTTTCACGAGGAAACTTCGATATGGTGTTGTGAGTACTTTATTACCCAATTTTGTTTTTAAAACTTCCCTCCTTGTGATTGCATATAGTAGGAGATCTTTGAAATACCTTTTTAAGATTATGCGACTCAATGAAGATGAAATGTAATAGAGTTGCAGTATGGAAGTTATGAAAAAACATTTTCAAGAAGTCGTTCTTGAAAGTTCTACCATTTCTTAGGGGTGCACTAACTTCTTAGGCTTGAGTACAAAATTTATGAACCATTCAGGTGAAAATGCTTCTAGCATGAAAGTGTTATAATTTTTTTCTCCTTGATATCAATGATGTTCCAAATTGCAGTCAATTCCCAAGGAAGTAGCCGTAACTGAAGGTCTTCTTAGCAAGAAGAGTATGATGATTCAGGATCCAACTGGGAGATCATGGCCTGTTAAACTTAGAGTCCGGGGCAAATTATCTTCGTGTCGTGTGAACATGTCTACAGGTTTGTTAAACTGTTGTAACGCGAACCAGATTATACCCGGGGACACCGCCATTTTTGAATTTGTCAAGCCAAGTCTGGCACAAATTCATATTTTCAGAGTGGGTGGCAATTCTGTAGTACTAGCTGAACCTGATGTAAAAGACTAAAGCTAGCCGACTCCAAAGCCTCACCTTGTAATACTTTCTGGAAATGTTTTGACTGCAATATCCACTTATCTATTTTAGTGCGTGCGAAATATTTTCTGATTGTTGTGCTTTAGATTTCTCTCTTGTAAATGTGATGCAGATGCACTTGGATTGAGACAGTTGAGTTTATATAACTCGGTGGTTGTGTACATGTAAAGTAGAGTATTTTGTCTTTCGGTAACCATGTTCCTTGTCCTTGTTCAGAGTTTTCTTCTTCTTCTATAGTTAGATTGGTAACCATGTTTCATAATCCAAAATGGAAAAATCAAAACCATCCTTATGTTATTTGGTTCTAAACACAGCCCATACATGTCACTCCATCCAGCCGGATCCTGCTAATTTACCACCATTGGCTCATCTTTGTTTGTGTCATTTAACACATACACTAAAAATTATGGTTTTATTTAAAGAGCTTTGAAATACGATAAAGTAATAGTTTGACCTATATGGCAATTCTCATAGGGACCACCCTTCCTATGTATTGCAGGGGTAAAAGTTTAGGAAGGAAAGTGATATGGAGGATCCATTTCCTTGTGGTGAAAAGTCAGTGAAGGCATTTATTTATGTATCCCAAATTTACCAAGAAAATTTATGTTTCCAACCACCTTGGTCATACGTTATAAGTCCATTCGACACACATGGCAGAAGCAAGCAAACGGGTAAAAGTCAGAAGAACAGCAAAACAACACCGAAGTCTTGAAGTATCTCTTATGGCAGCAGAAGAGTGAAAATAAGGTAAATAGCAGCCGGTATGTTGTCTCTTCACTGAAATAAATAACCAGTAAAAATTGTTCGGATGAACTCTTTGGCAGACCTAGTTGGTACTCTTGACAAAGATTCAAATGGCTAGGCCTAGAAGCGTTCACCAAAGAAACCATCATTTTTCAAGATCCTAATTGGTGACTTCTCTCAGTCTCTGTTAACATCCATCAATCCTCCCTTCATTTTCACTTTTCAAGGTCAATTCTAACAGTCATGATTGAATGCATGATTGCCTTTTGTCTTCTTTTTTCTTTTTCCTTTTGTTTTCCTTTCCTTTTTGGGTTAATTTTTGTAAGATCTTGAGTTTCTTTTTGGGGGAAAGTTAGAACAAATAGACATTTGCTACATGACAGTGGTTAAATTACTGTTTTGATAACATTCTGTTGATGAATGACTTAAATTTTTGTTTTAGTTTACTTCCTTGTTTTTGTGCCCTACTATCTGCCCATAAATTTGTAAACAAGAAAAAGGAAATGTTAATCTGTAAGGTTTACAATGATTTGTTCCCAAGTTATACAATTTGAATTTTGTTAACCATAAATTTTTTACCATAGCCTAACTATGACATTACTTGCTTGGTTTTTAACCTTAATATATATGTATGGTCTTTTGAGAAGCTGTTAAATTTTGTAGCGTATACCACCCAAGTTTATTGAGAACTTCAATGGGCAATCACTTCGCAAATGTGCTCTTAGAGGCCCTAGTAGACAATGGTGGGATGTGAAATTGGAAGAGAGCGAGAATAGTTTGTTCTTCCGTGATGGTTGGCAGGGTTTTGTGAAAGATCATGTTTTAGAAGTTGGGGATCTTTTGATTTTTAGTTACAATGGCAAATCAAAGTTTATGATCAAAATCTATGATAGAAGTGCATGCAAGAAGAATGTCGAAGTAGCCGAGAGAAGAAGTGGTAGTCCAGTTTCTTTGGTGAACGAAGGAATCAAGCTCAAGTGAAGGATGAAATTGTTGAGCTTGACACTGAAGACTGAAAACAAAACGATCGATTCTGACAGAAGAAGTTGTAAGTTACTTTTCTGCATCTAAGATCTAGGGAAGATTTGTATATGCTAATTACTGTAACGTTTTGTTTACTCCTTTACTTTTTAAATTGTTTCTCATTTTTGCATTGTATAGGCAAATATCCCATTTCTGAAAAGAGGCCTGTAAGTTTTTGTGTACAAGAAACATCAACTGGATCCATCTTGTTCAAATCAGAGAATCCATGTTTCCTAGTTTGTTCGAGGAAGCAGCATTTACTATATCGTGTGGTGAGTTCCTTGTCACCATATTTACTACGTCAATTGTGCTTGTGAAAAACTTTTCCTAATGGGATCAGAAAACAGTCAAATATATCTTTAGAAACACCTTTTCATAACACTTAAAATTATGAGTTTTAGGCTTGCATATGAACGCTATGAATCGTTTTATGTATAAGTGCTTCTAGCATGAACATGTTTTGTATTTAAATTTCTTGGTCAAGTTTCAAGCAAACTTGTCTCATTTAGTACCAATCAGCTCTATGAACTTTTCCTTAACAGCCTCCTTGATATCCATGATGTTCAAAATGGCAGACAATTCAGAATAAACTAGCCGTAGCTGAAGGCCTTATGAGGAGAGATGCTGTCATGCTTCAAGATCCAACTGGGAGATCATGGCTTGTTGAACTTAGAGTGGAATGCGTTAATCGTTTGGACATGGCAATAGGTTGGACAGAATGTCGTAAAGTGAACCAAATTTCACCTGGGGACTCCATTATTTTTGAGCTTGTCAAGCAAGGTGTAATGCAAATTCATATTTTCAGAGGAGCAGTGGGAGGCAATAGCTTGTCTGTGATAACTGCTGCCCCTAATGTTAAAAATTAAAGCTTGTTGATGCTTTTTTCAAATGTTGAGACTGCAGAATTTGGGTAGAGGATGATCTTATTTGATTCCCATACCACTCTTCTATTACTTTCTTTGGGTTGGTCTTTTTTTAATTATGCCGAGTTAGATGCACTAGAATTGTGACAGTTGAGTTCATTCTTTGACACCCTTGTGTCACCACAAGAAGTAATCCTTGTTACAATGTGCAAAATAGAAATAGACTTTGAAAGAATTGCAGCAGCATCAAAACACAGTTTGAGATCCAATGCTTGGATCAAAAGCCACTGATGGTCTATGACTCACTAACACATGCACTGAAATTAGATTTCACTAGCAATGGTGCCCGCGCGATGCTGCGGATTTTGAAACCGTGTAAAATGTGTACAAAGTTGTAAAAATATGTAGGAAAGATGGTACTATTTATATAGACATGGAGATCTAAATAGTGGCATCACGCTTTGTTTAGCAAGTCTAAGTTACAAAACATAGGATAATAACATGTTTTTTATGCTGTTTGTCATGTTAAAATACTGACCATATTTTAATAAATCAAGTAGCAGTCAAAACATCAGAATATCGGCAATATTGAGCTGCTCATTGTTCAAAAGAGTTTGGATAGGTCCTTATATATATGCTATAGGGTGGTGGTGGAAGAGGATTTTTCTGTCTTGATGTCTGTTAGAAGGGGGTCTTTCTCTTGTTAGCTCTGCTGTGGAGGTGGCTTATGTTCTTTCTTGTCCTTTGCGGAGGTTTTAACTTTGTCGGTACAAATTTGGAAAATGACAGGTGTTAGTGTAGATAAATGGAAAATTTTGGGTGAAGACAATAACTATTATCACATAATTAAGTTCAAAGCCTTTTTTAACAGTCTGTTCTTTGATTTGGCTGATTTGATGATTGAATTGGTGGACACCTACAAAATTCGTTTACCAAAGTTCATTGTAAGTAGAGCCTTTATTGTTTTTGGTCCTTATTACTGGTGAATAAATTGCTATAAATTAGAGCCTTTCTGATTTATAGCATAATGCATTCACAAACAAAATATAATAAAACAAACATAACAAAATGCATTCAGAATATCAAAACACATAAACGAAGTACTTTAAACTCAGTTTTCTGTAGTTTTAACTTTAAAGTTCAAAGACCAAAAAAAGTATAGAACTATAAAGGATAGGCCCTTTTAATGTATAGGCAATCGCAAACAGTGTTCATGAGTTTAGGTGGCTTTTATACATTGTTCTCGACATTGCCTCTCTATTATTTTTATAATCACTTCAATGAAGTATAGTATTTGCTATCGAGTTAAGTATTTGCTTTTGTTTTGTAGATGAAGTCGGTTTTAGCAGAACATGACCAGGTATTTTGACATTTTATAGATAAATTCTGGATTGTCAAAATACCTAGTCATGTTCTGCTAAAACCGACTTCATCTACAAAACAAAAGAAACCAAAATAAAGTTAGCATCATGGAGTGGAAGCAATAAAGAGGTACTGAAAAGCAAAAAAAAAAACACGGTTTGTAGAGTTCATTACCTGAGATTAAGTTGAGAGATCTAGTAAGAAGCTATTATGATTACTGCAAAGTTACACCTCAAATCACGGCATCCTAGATCAAAATTTTCATGGAAACCTGAAATTAAATCAGAAGAAAAACATACAGAATTTTATGAAAAGGGCATAATGCGTAACCGCTATTTCTTAATCTGGGCTCCCCTATATACATATATTTCACAAAATTTCAGCAAGAGAAAAGTACTGTAAATCTGTTTGAAACTGAAAAGGGAAAAGAAAAAAAAAAACAAATCATCCCTGCATATAAGAATAAGAAAAGAAACAGTGCAACAAAAATATGGCATAAAGTTGAACTCCATAAGCTCAAACTCAATTTAGTTTACCAAAATAGACGTCTTCTTGAAGAATAGAAGGAAACACTTGATTCAAAACACCCTTTAAAAAATTTAAATATGCTACTACGTTATTTAAACGTCATGGATAAAGAGAAATATAACACACAAAAATAAATACCAAATTAAATGGAACCTAAGAAACTGTGAAGTTAATTTCTAGATATTTGTTTACCAAATTTCATACAACAATCCTCCATTTAAACTGATTGTTTACAACAATGCTAGGAATTTGTATGCAGATCATATATGCAATATTTGGCTAATCCATTCCACCAGTAGCCATATATTTAACTAAATAAGCTACATCTAAAACCGAATGGGTATTCTTCAAGAATAAAACCAACCTTAAAGCAGACCCTAAACCCTAAACAACAGTAAAATGTTTAAAAAGATGAATTTTATTTGTTTTTTGTTTTTTAGTTGTTGTTGCATTTTCTTAGCAAACAAACAGGGTAAGTAGGTTATACAGTGTTAAATCAGATTATTATTATTGTTATTTGTAATGATCTTATATGGAGGCAGCCATCTTTACCTTCCAGCTGAGAGATTGGTCTATTAGTTCAAAACATCAGCTCCAAATCATATTTCCTTCTAGATGCAAATATATATTAAGCTCCTAGAAATCATTATCCACATGCTCAAATAGAGAGAGACAGAGAGATCTTGCATTTGTTGAATCTGAAAAGCAAAAGGAAAAGCAGATGGCCCCGTAAAAAACTTGAAGCCTCCAGATGGACATCGTGTGTTAGCATGAGTCAACGTTCCTATTATGAATAGAATTTATATTTTATTGTAATTATCTAATTTGAGTAGAATTATGAGATTTTGTACATATTTCCTATTTGTACCCACTCTATATGTAGTATATATATTCCTCCTTGAGAGAAGAATAAACATATCAGTTTAAACCTTAATTAATTTGAGTTGGTATCAGAGCAAGTTCTGATCCGTCTCTACAACATCAAAACCTTAATCCTGAAAAATACCTATTTCCGCTGCACCTAGCCTATACACCTAAACCTATGCCGCTTATACACCTAAGTCTGTGTCGTCTTATATCTCTTAATTGTGGGAGCAAATATTTCCATCTCCAATCAGGGCACGCCACGTGGAAAAGAAGATTATCTCTTAAATTAATTAATTGAGCCAGTTTATCTGGCCAATTAATTAATTGAGATAAATATCTTAATTAATGGGATATTATCTTTATTTAATGAGATAATACCATTAATTAAGATATTATCATAATAAAGAGAAGATAATATCATTAATTTAGATATTATCTTCATCAAAAGAGATAATATCGTTTAATTCAGATATTATCTTCAATAAAGAGAAGATAATATCATTAAATCAGATATTATCTAAGTCCGACTCGATCTCTACGAAACCCTAGTCCCGAGGCTCCTATAAATAGACTACTTCATTCATCATTCAAGGTACATCTAAACCTACTCCTAATACCGGAGAAAAATACCCGAAGCTTTCTCTTTCTCCCTCTCCACTCTCCATATTTTCTCCACACGGCTCCAGCCACCACACACAGCTCCGGCCGCCCGGTTCTCACCTCACATAAACACTACTCCGTACCCTTTGCTTAGCTATTGTTTTCCAACAAACACTCGAACTAACTTGGGCATCGGAGGGCCTTTGGCCAACACCCCCCGGGTGTGGT